AGGAAAGTGATCAACAAATTTGACATCTAGAGTGGTGAGAGTCTATTTTTAAGAAGACTTACATTTCAAAACGACAAAAACCTGGTCGCCTAGAGTACAAAATAATAGACAATTACTATGGTTCTGTTTATCGAAGAGTTTCGAATTTTTATAGTTAAAATGGCATGTAACAAAGCTAAGACAAAATAGATAGCCATCTAAAAAACACTGGCTAGTCTAGTCCATTTAAACAAAGAATAAACTATACGGACTTTGGTGCCCTAATATTTGGAAGTTTGAATAAGTGCGGAATTAGACCAGATAGGCGATCCATCCACTTTATAAACTTCTCTATGGAGTCATTTTAAGCGTTGGATAAACAAGAAAATTGTGGAAAACAAAGTCGCATTGGATTAGATGAAGTGAATACGGATTAGTAATAGAATTGTATAAAAGGTGCATAAGTAGTGGGTATTTATGCCTTTGTGCGAGTAATTATATTAGGAAAAAATAAGAAATGAGAAAAAAACTTTATTTAAGGAGGAGGAGGAAAGTATACTGAGAACAGTACGAGTATTTAGAACGTCCTTTCTATTGCATTAAGATGAAAGGTTGTTTCGGATGGGATATAACGATAAATATCTAAATATCTATAGATATATTTCAGTGTGCCAATAACATTCCTCTATTATGTTTGAATAGTTGAGATCTAAAAACGTGAGAATTTAGGAAGAAAGTATGCATGTCTGAACCCATATGGGTAGACAACAACAGCAACAACGACAGCCATTACTCTCCTGTCCTACAATAGGGAAAAGTAGGGGGGGGGGGGGGAACAGAATGTAAAACGCTAGAGCAAAGTAAGAAATTTTGAAAATACGGTGACGGACTAAGAGTTCATTTCAGCAGAGCCTGTCTAGTCTCATCTGCCTGATCATGGCTCTAAGAAGATACGAGAAGATTCGAAGTGGCATGACTAACCACCCAACTAAATTAATCCGTCAATAACCTCATAGTGGCGTGGATATGAACTAGCCTAGCAGTCAAATCATGAATATGGCGGTTTTGAAGCACTTATATGAAGCTATGGTTCCCTCGTAAGAAAGCGGGCAATTAATGCCTTCTGAAATCGAATTGGGTATAACTCTTGATACCCCCAATTCATTGGGTATTCCTGTTTAATCTCTCACCTTTCCCAATTTAAACATTACTAAACTCATTTACTGTTTCCTGTGATTAGATGTTTCCCATAAATAAAGTTTACGAAATTTTTATTGCTTCCTCGGGGATATTAAGAATGGGAAAAAACTCAAAAATCGGAGAACAACGGTCAATTCTAAGAAGGCGATCATGGATAACTCCAGTAAATGTGGTTCAAAGGTCTCCTTTCTCTTCAATCCTTTAATTGAATTTTAATTACTTGTAAGCCATACAATTAACTTTTCCACTGACCAAATTATCTGATTTGAATGAGGCCGAAAAGGAGGGGAGTGGGATGGGAGAGAAAAGTGGAGGCAAATTGGAAGTAACCTCATGAAAGCAAAAGCATTGGATAAGGAAGACGTTCTCATAATACGCAGAGTACGAAATACCCCCCACTTTCGACTTCAACATCAGTAGATTGATTTTGTGACAAGTTTAAAGTAGATTGTGTCATGTAAACTGAAGAAAATAGCATATTTCACACCCCCCCCCCCCCCCCCCCCCCCACTCCCCACCCAGAAGCCTCAGTATCCGTACTAAATGGATACCAGTGGAGTTTCAATTCAATTAGGAGCACCAAGGCAACTAAATCTATGGGAAGAGCAGTTAAAATGAAACTAGTAATAAAACTCACCCTTATCGAACACACGGCATTTTTATGACCAGATTGTATGAGAAATAGCAATTGAAGCGAGAAAAAATCGTTTTTTTTGGCGAACATATTCAATCATCTATCTCATGGCGTTGTTAGGTTTAAAAAGAGACCTCATATTAAACCGACTTAGTTAATAATGCTCCAACACTCCAAATTCAAGAAGCCTAGGACTAATTTATCCTTACGAATTCGCTTTAAGTACTGAAATAGTCCATTCTATAGTGCAAGTATCAGAAGCCCTGCTTTGGGTAAATATAATTACTTATCGTGATTTTTTATTTCAAAATGAATCGAATAGAGTAAGAGATTTCTAGTGAAACCATAAAGTTGATCCTTTTAAAGTAAGCAATACTTAACTCGTATAACCCCAAAAGTTCTTTTGAGAACGCTTATTTCCAAATTCAGCCTGAACAATTGAAAGGCGTCGTGGAGACACACACTCGGTAACCACTTTATTAGTTAAGCGTAACGAGAGCGGTTGACCCTTTGGCGCATTGGGTGACCTAGCAAAAGGGCAAATTGACCGATGAACCATCTTTAAACTTAAAATTTACCACATCAACACTTTTAAAATTAAGTAATCAGGTAGAACGTAGGTAAGGGTGGATAAAATGACCTTGGCAACTACTAGCCAATCGATAAATACGGACAGAATCACTCACAGATCAAGATTATGGACTTTAGAATTTGCCCACATTTGAATCTCCCCTCTTGATAGAACAAATAACCTTAAGAAATTCCCCATTTAATGCCACAATGGCAAAATTTCTCGACCATTCTCCTTTGCCCTCTCCCCCCCCCTCTCCCTTTCTGTCAACTAGTTTTCTTGTCTTTAGACACAGCATATAAATGACGCCGTAGCATGATGATTTAAATAGGCTATGAAGAACGACATGAATTCGTGTAATTTAAATCCTTTACGAACGAAGACCGACATCCTATACTACAGATACCTGAAATGACCTCAGAAACCCAGATGTTTTAACGAACCTCCTCCCGTGCACCTAGCGTGCTTCATTAATTCTGGGCGTCGAAAACTCCTTGGGGGGCGTATTTGCCGTCCATTTCGTATTTGTGGTATGGCATGCCCAATGAATACATATGAGACTGTGTGTGGTATTAGAGGCAGAATCTCATTAAGGTAATGGTAATAACAAAAAATGCTAAATATGTAAAACTTAAAAGTACCAGTAGAAACACAGATCACACATGAATCCAATTTGAATAAGGGAATTGACGAGGAGCGAAGTCAATTACAAAAAGAAACAAGAAAAGCGAAGAGTGATAATTCGATTTCTTCCGGTTCCGTTGATGGCGTATACGCCCTGAAGCTATACTATGGTAGACTTCAACTATTATTAACATATAACTATGAAAATAACAAAAAGAAGAAATGACACTTGGCACAAATGCTGGCGAAAAGAGAATAGGAAGATTAAGATAAGATTTGAGATGTGCCCTAATAGTAAAAATAAGTTGGATGCTAATCTTACGAGAAAGACCTTTTAGACGAGGATGCAGGCCACAGACTACTTCCATTAAATGTCCTGGGAACTTATCTCATTTTATTAAACTTAATTAAACCAGTATTAAACTTATTGCGATGACTGTGAGAATTCGAATAAGTTTCAGATCCAATAGATAAGTTTCCCATGAAAAACCGGATGGGAATTTGCCAGAGTATGCTTAAATTGACTCTATTCTGTGAAAATATATTACACTTTGGCGGAGATACCAAACTGAAAGGAAAACGTGAACTAAAACTAGGCGCTATAAAGTGAAACCCAAAGACGAGCAATCAAGTTTGTCCGTTTAACTAGCATCTCAACCCGTGCTGGTGGCGGAAATTGCAAGTATTCGAAGGTGCTTTGGGAGAGCCAATACTGTCAGTTGTCAAACTCTGAGAGCTTAGATGTTGGACATTGAAGGTTAACTGATGCGTAACTAGGAGAAGTGAGAAATTGAAAAAAACACTCGCCATTATTTCCATGATTAGGAATGAAACATATGTACTCATCCCAAAAGACAAAATTCGTAAATATGCCTCTCAATATAATTTCTTATTTAGACAAAGCCCATTAAAAGAATTCAAATCTTCTCAAGGTCATAATACCATGCCAACAGGGATGCTTATAGTGACTAATTTTTACTTTATCTTAACGTTAATTAAAAATAGCTATTGGCAATAAGTGTTATTTAAATATTATTTTATAATTTTATTGCAAAGTAAATTTTTCCACAAAGAACTCTCATAAACAAATCATTTAAATTTTGCTCGCAGACATCAGGGCATTTTTGTTCATTAATCGCCTTGAGTAACCTGCTTTATGGCATTTAAAAATATGAGGATTAGAAGTAAATTTCATAAAATAGGACTGCAGTAAGTTTTATAAAACTGCAATTTTGCCAGGATGAAGTAATGAAAAAGATAACTGTCTATAGTGAAACGATGACGCATTGGTTACCGCACTCCTCTGTCGTGTCAGAGACCACGGGTTTGATTCCCACTGTTGCAAAACTTATGAGACTAATGGCCAGCCGCACTAGTTAAGTCCAGATAGCATTGAGAATGGTAGAATCATAGTTTCCCACTGGAGATGTTCCTTGCCACACTCTACACAAGAAGAGAGTTGGAAAACGTTTTCCTGAACGAGCTTAAGAAATATTAATTTTCTATAGTAAAGTCAACTGGACAAATGCACGTATTATTGCCAATAAATCATTTTAAGACGGGATATATTGCAATGTTAGATTACACCTCATATATATAATAAAGTTCGAAAACATACTTTGACAGTCTTAGCCAACGAAAATAAAGCGCCATGACATTTGTGGAATTTCTCGAGATACGATTCTTACTAAAAGATTGATGCCACGCATGGCAATAACACTTTTGAAAAAGGAATCCTTTAAAGCATACAAGATTGCTAAAGATGCAGTGTTTAAAGGAGAAGGAAAAAGACGGCATATTGATGGAGTATTCAGTAGTTCGATTTTAACTAAGATGCAAATTGTATTGCATTTTGAACTATAAATGGCTCTTCATTACTTTTAAACCTTTTGATTCAATAGAGCTGAATTTTCCTCTACAGCAAAAGCGTGTACATAGCATGCATTCCTTTGGCACTGCCTTAGCAATTAGCTGAAGGGAATGTGGAGGCTTTCAAAAGTGAAAAGAGATTAGACTCACTTTGGCTTGAACATGTTCCAGGTAAACGACTCCACGGTCACCATTACTACTTCCAACGCATCCATCGGTTTCTATACGAAGCTGCTCGGATGCATGTTTTCTCATCTTCAGGGGACTACGAGGCAAAGGAGCATGAACTTCGCAGATTCGTTGAGGAGGTACGGTAGTCCAATTGAGAGCGAGATCTACCATTGCGGCTGCATCCATTAAGCCATAACTACAACATATATAATCATATTTAAATCATCAACTTGGCTGAGTACTGCTGAGTTAACTTGGTTCGTACGAGCTTATGCAAATTAGCAACTGTGTAGCTGACGTGGTATCAACACCCAAACATCTTAAACTATACAGTTTGGGATGTCCGATTTCAAGCATATCAGTAATGATATGTGAAATACGCAATTCCTCAAAACTAAATTTCAGCAGAAAATCGAGCCTTCAAATTCCGAGTACTATTTGAGATTCAGGTTCATAAAATTTCAACTCAAAGGTAGTTTGGTTTTCAAATTAGTACCTCTGAAATAGTGAAAATAGGCCATGTTTATCTTAAGCGTCTTGAAATGAGAGTTCGATAACCCTCTTTTTTAATATATTGTTGAAGGATTCTTATTGAATCAGTATCGGTTTAGCTCTTAAACAAAATTGTATCCATTGAAAATAGATATAAATTTCAGTGTGCCCTTGGGAGTACTGCAGTCCCATGCTCATCTGTAAAGTTAAAGATCATTGGTTGAACGTCGATCGGGTCTCTGCTAATGAGTAAGGTTAAGTGAAAATTGTGTAGCAACATTTAAGTTATTCATTTGGAAGTCTCTCTGGTGTTAAGCCTTAACTCACGATGCGTGTTGAAAAATGCTTTGGGCAATAAACTAAAAGATCAACTGGACTTGTCAAATTAGCATAAAATATTTCCTATATATGGAATATTTACTCGAATTTATACACATTAACAAATTTTACTACTGGCAACTGTGACTAATAAACACCGAAGTTGTTACATCTCATGGGTATGAAAACATCTGGCTTGATTATTGCCTACTCTAAGATATTATAGACAGATAAGAACTCAACATTCAAAATTCTTCTAACTTTATAACAAATTATATAAACTGAACAATCGAAATAAACAAGGCAATGAGAAATTAAGCCATATTTTTCCTCCCTAATAAAGAGAACTTTTGTTTATATGCTACGAGCATAATTAATTATCTCGGTTGGCAGCATAAATGATCGCGACTCGTGTATCTATAAAAAATAGCTCCACTTGGTTAGAAGTGACTTGGAAGATGAATATCTGAAATTTTTGACATACATAAGTGCTGGTGGAGGCTGGACAACTGTGTTCTGATAAGCGGATAGTCAGAGGAGAAGAATAATTTCGAATGACTTAATTATTTGCTAAAAGTTAGAAAATTCGAAGGAAAAAAATTAAGCTGGATGTTTAGGAAAATGAAGAATTTAGGGTTCGGGTTTATATCGAATGATCGAACATAAAGTTCTACCGTATTTGTGCCTAACCACTACTATTAAGTAGTTACCTTTCCTACCAAATAATCAAAAGCTTGAGTCAAGCTTTGGATTATCACAACCAGGAGGGAAATTTCACATTAAATGGTCAAAAGAATAAAATTCAGAATATGCATTCATGAGATTTATACAGACTCAAGATTAAATGGCCAGAGACATGAATAAAGGAATTGCCATTTTATTGATGGCCACATTGTCTTCAGTGACAACAAACAGGTTTAAAACCTTCCTATAATTTATGCATTGTGGTTTTCGTGCTAGTAATCACATTAACTGGCTAATTGAGATCCACCAGATGCCTTTATTAATGAGTCACAAAGGTACCGCTCCTCACTTCAAAATTACTTCGAATTAGGGAGTTTCCCACAATCGAACTAATTTGAAAAAACACTCGTATGATAATTAACGACTCAGCAGATTGTGAACTATAACCAAGCTGCAGCCTCTTAATGTCGTGTTTAGAGAAATTGGAGACAAAGAAATGGACATCGTAATTACAATCTCCCTGAACAACCTAGAAAGCGAACGCATTCTGCAATTAAGCACAAAAGATATCTAAGACCCCTTCAGTTAAAGTAATTGCATAAATGAACTACCCCTTACAACCTGGTGATTATAAGTTTTAATTTCTCCCAAAAAAGTAAGCTATAATTTATTCGACTTTTGAAGGTCAAAATAATGCGCACTTTATCACACGTAATCTCTTGCGCATAAATTTAAGCTATGAATAATTTAAACTGCCAGTTACGTGAGCAGCGTTCCTCCATCTTTTAAATAAGAATATATTCTAAAGGCGATGGGAGGAAAGCGTTTATTATGACAAGTCTAGGTAGTGAACACTGAGTCTCCATTCACTTAAAAATTCCATGCATTTTCGCATTGAACAGACATGATTTTCTTTCAAAGACTCTTCCATCTTCAACATAGTGCCAATCAAAAGTCTTACAAAACTTGTTTCAAACTTGGTAAAATTCACCGAATGGCAAAACATTCAATCGTAAGTAATGCAAAAGTATGCTAAAAACTACATTCAATTCACACCCGACATGAATAGCATAGCTACATTAGGACTTATTGAATAACAAAGAATTGCATATTTGAGCGCCATTAATAACAAGTTTGATGGGAAATAGGAGTTGTAACTGCAAAATAAACTTGTCCAACTAACCTGAAACAACAGAGAACGATGGCGACCAACATTCAACAAAATGGAAATTAAATCACATATTTTAACTACACGTGTTGGTTGGCACCAATGCTTTCTCTCTCTCTCTCTCTCTCAGATATCAGGTCAAATTTCTACCGAAATAGAACGCTGCTGGTAATTGCTGGCTTCAATGATCCTCTTTTGTCGACCACAACGGTCTATCGCGATTGTCCTAAGTCATTCTATGGAGCTTAACAAAAGCGATGAGGCCTAACAATTGATCTTGATACGTAGAACTCGTGATATGCAAAAAACATTAATCTGGCTAAAATTTCCATTTCAACGCTAATTTTAGTGGTTCATTTTGCGATTTCACACCAAATTATAACTATGGAAAAATTCTTCTTTACTGGGAAGAAAACGTAGCCAATATTGACGAACCTAATTTTAGCCATAAAGCCAAATGGCACACTTGTCAATCAGTGCTTCCTAAGCGAAGCCATAAAATTCGAACTGGAAAATTGTCAGAGAATGGTGGAAATTCGATGCTACAGCTGAAACACGCAAAAGCAGCCAAAATGGTTTATTAAATCTACACCTTACAAACAGGACTTCTAATATTGAACAGGTAAGTAAATTAGAGCAATCTGTCTGCACTTTATTGATATACAGTAAGCTTGGAATGCATTCTATAATTTAAATAGCAAAAATGTCTACTAACCGGCAGTTGACTTCTCATTTCAAACTACCATCACCTCGCTGTACGTCATAATCCACCACTTCCACAGTGCTCACCTTACCTTTTTTCTACCTTTGTGTCTGTCTCTCTTACATCTTTGAAACACTCTCCCGCCCCCCCCCTCTCGACTTTTTCCACTTTGATGTTCCTTCCCTTCTGTGAAGCCTGAAGTCAACTAAAGGGCTAATGATAACCATCAAGACGCCTGCCATTTGATATAAATAAGTAAATATTTTAAATAGCCAATGGAGAAGACAGTCTATATCTGTGTCCACACACAGGAAAAAAACCAAGACGATAATTATCGAACGTAGATCCTCTATCAG